ATGAAATGAAGTATTTATAAATATTGTAACTATTATTATTTAGTTATTAAGGAATGGAGTATTGGTGCATGCTACAGCTGGTTAGCAGGAGTGTTAACATATGTGCTTGTAGTGCGCCATGATATCACACCTCCACCAGTGCCAAAGTGCTAACGACCCCCCACCACTGTTCTTAAGTCACTTGTAATGAACCGCTTCCTTCGCCATCCCCCAGACGCCTTTTTAAAAAGGCATTCAATGGTCGATGTGTTTATGTACTTCTTTTCCCCTCCTCCTTCCCTTTGCAGCGATGCCCTGGGGGTTGCACATGTGTTTGACTGTGATGCTCACACTCCTCAGCCGTGGTGCTCACTGGGTGAGGCCACACTCCAGGTTTCGGTGCCAGCTCACTCAGCTGCCATGTGCACTAAGAGTTGCACTCCTTAAAATCCTCCTGCTCTCACACATGCTCACTAGGGCATCTGCTTCTGGGCCAGGGGTCTGCCGCTTTCTTTAGTTGCAGTGTTTGTTGACAGTAGCACCGCCTTAAAATTTTAAAAAATTATTAATTTTTTCTTATTGAGCCACCAAGAGATTCACAGTTACAAAGCTGTTCATGAGGTTCTCAGTCATACAGTGTTCCAACACCTGTCCCTAAACCAGTGTACATTTCCCACCAATGACCCCAGTTTCCCTCCCCCCACCCCCCCCACCAGCCTGTCCATCCATTTATAAGCAAATTTCATGACTTCATTTTTCCTAATAGTTGCATAGTATTCCATTGTGTAGATGTACCATAGTTTCTTTATCCAGTCATCTGTTCTCAGGCACTCGGGTTGTTTCCACATTCTGGCTGTTGTGAATAGTGCTGCAGTGTACATAGTGCAGATAGCATTTTGCTGTGCAAAATCCCAGAAATGGTATTGGTGGGTCATATGGAAGTTCAGTTTCTACATTTTTAAGGAATGTCCACTTTGTTTTCCAAAAACGCAGGACAAGTTGTCATTCCCACCAATAATGAACGAGAGTCCCTTTCTCCCAACATCTGCGCCAGCACTCGTTGTCCTTTTTGATGTGTGCCAGCCTCTGGTGTGAGATGATACCTTATTGTTGTTTTGATTTGCATCTTCCTGATGATTAGCAATGTAGAGTATTTTTATCATGCGCCCTTTGGCTATTTGTATTTCTTCTGCTGCTGCTGCTCCTCCTCCTCTTTCTCCCTCCTTCCTTCTCCCATTCTTCCTCCCTCCTCCCTCCTCCTTTCTCCTTCTTTCTTCTTCTCTTCCACACCCGGTGATGTTCAGGGGTTAGTCCTGGCTCTGCACTCCAGAGTTATTCCTAACCCCTGGCAATAAGCAAAGAGACTTCTCATTGGTGGTGTTGCTCTTATATCTGTCAGGGGAAAAGCAGTTAGTCCTTTGTGTATCCTAGCTTGGTGGCTGTGTTGGTGGCAAGAGCTGTTTCATGCTTGGGGCATATTAAAAAAAAAAAAGAGAGAGTTACTCTTGGCAGTACTCAGGGGACCATATGGAAAGCTGGGCATTGAATCCAGGTTGGCCTTGTGCAAGGCACGTGCCCTATCTGCTGTATCATCGCTCTAGCCCTTGCATTTCTTCTTTGGAAGTGTCTGTTCATTTCTTCTCCCCTGTTTTTGATGAGGTCAGTTGTTTTTTTCTTGTAAAGTTCTACCAGTGCCTTATATACCCTTTTCTGATGGATATTGAGCACCACCTTTTTTTTGTTTGCTGCTTTGGGGCCACGCCCCAAGATACTGGGGAGTGGGTGATACCTTCAGCTATGTGCTCAGGAGTGTCTCCTGATAGTGCTCAGGGAACCATGCAGTGCCGGAGATGAGATCTGGGCCTCCTACAGTGTGTGTTCTTCCCAGTGGTTTAAATCTTCAGTCCAGCACCCCTTTTTATGGTGCGCAAATGCCTTTGACTTTGTTATTACAGAAGGAGTGACCTGAATTTCTTTTGCACAATCACCAGGCAGAAATATTCACTCCTCTTAAAATATGCTGTGGTATAGCCAAGCACAATGGCACCATGAGACTCAGGCTGCAGAAATACGAAGCTTACGCTTGAATCATGTGGGTCTCTGGGCTTTTAAACTTGGGACCTCATGTTTGCAAGGCAGCTGCTCTAAGTCACTATGCTATTCCTCTGCGCCCTTGGCAAATAATTCTTTGAGTTTCCTTCCTCTTTATGTATTTTCCAGATATTTGTATCTGCAGGTACCTACATTTAACATTAAAGTGAGATCTTGCTTTAGATATTGTCTATAAACTTTTAGGAATGCTAAAAATGTGACTTCCTTTGTAGTACTTATACATACGATCTGTCATTTAAATAAGTCTTCATGTAATGATTTGTTTACAATCTGTTATTGTTACTTGATATCAGTCTTACTCATTGCAATATCATTAGTACCCATACAATATCTGGGCCATGATAACCAGTTTGTCTGGTTAATTGCATGAGACAATTATGTTTGTCTTTCCATACTTCTTACACCATATTCTTTTTAGAGCCGTATAGGAGTCATGTGAACGAATAAAATATGGTTTATTTTGAGAAGTTTGTTTAATTTAACTTAATTTTTTAAATGTGCAGTAGAAATATAAAATGGTGCAGCTGTTATGGAAAACTTTGACACTTCTTGAACTTTAAAAATAGAATTACCATATGACCTAGAAATTCTGTTTCTAGACAACTTAAAATACCTCTACATAGAAACTTACAAATGAATGTTTATAGCAGCCTTTTTCATAGTAGTGAAGACACGGAAGGAATGTAAATGTCTGTCAGTGAATGACCGATTAAGCTTCTGCAGTTCAGTTATATGTGGTATAAAGATGTTTTGGCCAATGACCAACCATCCATCTGATGTAATTCCCAAATTACTGTTGTCTAGTGTTGTTGTAGCACACATGCTAGTGTACGCTAGTGTACTCCAGGAGCAATAAGAAGTCATGGATATGCCACCTTCATGCCCAAGATGCTCTCGTGCATTTCTTGACAGTGATATGAAGTACTGTTTGAAGAGTAACATACATTGTTTGCATAGCAGTGAAAACCATTGAATGTTGCATTTGTTAGAACCTACTTAGGTTATAAAGTCACACAGGTCTATATCCATGCAGTGGGATATTACTTAGTTCTGAGGAAATGAAGTATTCGTACATGCTACAGATGGCATGAGCCTTAAATACAGACTAAGTAAAAGAAGCCAGACATTAGAGGCCACATGTGATCATACGCTTTTTTCTATATGAAATACCCAGCATAAGCAAACCTTTAGAGATAAATTTGAATAGTTGTTGCAAGGAGACAGAGTGTGTGAGTAGATGATTACTTACTTAATGATTAATGAGTATAGAGACACTAACAAGGTGTTTTATTTTTTTTTTCTTTTTGGGTCACACCTGCCGATGCACAGGGGTTACTCCTGTCTCTGCACTCAGGAATTACTCCTGGCAGTGCTCGGGGTACCAAATGGGATGCTGGGAATCGAACTCAGGTCAGCCGTGTGCAAGGCAAACTCCCTACCCGCTGTGCTATCACTCCAGTCTCTTAACAAGTTTTAGAGTATGTAAAGATGGTGGAGGTCACATACATTGTGAATGCTGTTGAGTTAGACTTCAAAATGATTCATTGGAGGCCAGAATGATAGCTCAGTGGGTAGGCATTTGCCTTGCATATGGGCCGACCTAGGCTTATATTCCCTGGTATCCCATAGGGTGCCCCAAGAACAACCAGGAGTAATTCTTGAATCCAGAGCCAGGAGTAACGCCTGAACATCATAGGGTGTGACCCAACTCCCCTGACCCTCAAAAAAAAAAAAAAAGATAGTTCATTGAATGTAAGTTTCTCTTCAGATATATTGAAACACACACATACACACACACACACACGTGCATGCACGTGTGTTGTAAATTTACAGAACACAAACAAGACTGCCCTTTAAAGGTGTACTATTGATTATATAAGCCAGTTACAGTGATCTCTAAAGATACTCCTGTAGGTATTTGCATAATTTTTCATTTGAGGGATTATTGTAACCAGGATGTATTCTGACTATCATACTTCAACATACACAAACATTTTAGAAATATTTGAAACTGTAGTATACCGTAACATTTTTTGTGGGGAGGGCACACCTGGCAGTGAGGGCTCACCCATGGGGGGGCTTGGGGACCATATGGATGCCAGGGATTGATCCTGGGTTGACTGCGTGCAAAGCAAATGCTCTACCTGCTGTACTATTTATCTCTCTGGCTCCTATTTCATTGATTTTTTGCTTTGCCTATTGATTGTAAGGTACACAGTTGTTTTATGCCCTGCTCAGATAAAAGAAAAATACTGCCAATTGGTCAGTATGCCAAAAGATGAATAGCAGCATAATAAATAATGAAAGTATAAAAAGTGTTTACTTTAGATCTATGAAATATAAACTGTGCTTGGAAAGTGTTTTCATGACATGCTACATATAGTGATGTAGTAAGTTACTAAACTTACTAATTCATGTAAAAAAACTGAAGGATGGAAATGATTTGACTGCATTTTCGTATTGAAGAACTGATCGAAGTGAGATTTTCTCCTTGTTTCCTGTGGTCTGCTCTCTGGGATGGTTAAGTTCAACATGCAGTTTTGGTGCACAATGTATAGTCATTTTAAAAACAGTAGCTAACACTTATGTAGCTCTTACCATTGGCTAGGCAATATAGTGAGCACTTTATATTTCTAATTCAGTAAACTTTTACTACCCCCGTTTGCCCAAGGAGAAACTAGATGACTTGATGAAGGTCACATTGCTGGTCAGTGTGGGAGTCTAGGATTTGAGTGTAGGTCGTCTGCCTTCAGAGTCTATCATGTTAGCATTCAGCAGTCCTGGCCACATAATGAGTGAAATAGTATCTGTTCCCTCAGCACAGTTTGTCAGTATTTAGAGGTTTGTGGGTAAGTTGACATAGAATTATTGTAATACTTTTCATAATGAAGTTTTATTTGTGTTTTTAGGACATTCAGTCAGAAGAAGGCTGCTATTGAAAGAGAATATGCACAGGTAAGCTTGGAAATGAAGATCCCCCACTCGCGGTATACTTCCTCTGTGTGTGTGTGTGTGTGTGTGTGTGTGTGTGTCTGTGTGTGTGTCTGTGTGTGTGTGTGTGTGTGAGGGAACACGTGCCTTCCCACTTTTAAGGAATGGGCAAGGGCTCTACCCACTGAGCTACATCCCCAGCCCCTATATGTTCTCTGTAATTTGAGGGCAGATATGATTATTGGAGAGAATCCTTAACATACCTGCCAGGCTCCTTATTTTCATCATCTCATTTTGGTCTCCCTTAAACTCCATTTCAGTCTTGAGGAGGCTCCTTACCGCAGAGAAGTTAGAGAACCTGATGATTAAAGACAGGAATCACAATATTTATGAAAAATAAGTACAAATAGTAAAGAGTACATTTTACAAATATATGTAGTCAGTCTACCTCATATGTCATATCTTGTGCAGGTTTATGAAAGTTTATTTTTGTTCTATCAGACATTTATTTCTCATTCTTTGTTGATAGAGAATAATATACTTTCATTGAGTTGCATAGAGCTATTTCTCAGGGAAATTTAAGCATTTCCTTCTTTTGTTTTATTTGCTCTCAGATAGAAAAATGTGCCAAGAAAAGGTTAGTGTTGATGAATCATTTTGCCGATATATAAGAAATAATAGCTATTCATATACAAAAAGTTTAATAAAATTTGGAATTTTTTGCCTTACAAGCAATTACTTTCTTTGTAGAGTAGAATCTAAAATTGATTTCATCTCCCAAAATTAAAGGAGAGGTATTTGTGACTAAAATCTAAAATATAGGTGAGCCAGAGCCAGAGAGAGGTCACATAATAGGAGGGTGTTTGCGTTGCACGCAGCTGACTTGATTTGGAACCCTGAGATACCCCATACGGTTCCCTGAGCACCATCAGGAGTGATTCTGATTGCAGAGCCAGGAGTAACCCCCCTCTCCCCCCACCCCCAATAATAAACTATAGGAGAACCTTAGAAGGAAGTATTTGACAGCTAGGAAATGCTGTACCAAGGAAATGATAACCAGATTGCTGCAGCTGCCCGTGTTTGTATTATAAGGAATGAAATGGGGTGTGATTGTTTTTTATGCTTTGTTTGGTGTTGATTTTAGTTTTATCCCAGTTTCATTGTAGTTAACCAGGTGGCACTCAGTACTTCATTTGAGGGTATCAGGGACATTGCTGTCTTCCTTTATCAGTAGGTAGACTGATAACTTTATTAATTCAGCCATTAGTTGTGGAGGGCTCAGATGTATCAGGAGCTTTATAGCATGAATAGCTTGAATTTTAATATTCCTCCCAAGGTTTCTCTGCAGATATAATAAATATAAGTGTTGATGGCTAACCTTTACTGAATCCTTGTATCAGGCACTTTATTGATCATTTTACATGTGTCATCTAATTTGAACTCTTCAACAGTCCAGTTAAATACAAAGTTATTGTGGCCTTTACAGATTAATTCCTTTTATGGATCTGTTTCCGTTGAAATAATTTGCGGGCCGGGACGAGGCGGTAGCTCCAAAGGCCGGAGTCTGTGTTGCTCTTGGGAGCCCTGGGTTTTACCCGCAGGAGTGGCTGGTCCCGCTGGCACTGCCGTGATTGGCCCCAGAGCACCACCAGTGTGGGCTGTCCCCACCCCCTGCCTCTGAAACACCCACATGACTTGCTCTTAAAATTTAATACGAAGTGGACATTTTTATGGGGTTGTCTTCTATAACTTAATTTAAGATTTTAATAAATAGGTTGACTGCCCTCCTCCCCACCCCCTTTCTGCTGTTGCTTTGTGGTGTCGGGGGTGGATGTGTTGGCTGTGATACTTGCCAGGTTCATCCTTTTCTTGTGGCGCTTTGCTTCCATAGGTGCTTGCCAGGACTTGCTCTTCCGTAGGTGTGGTGCCCACCCAGGGGTCACACACCTGGCTCACACAGTTTCAGTTGGGGTGTGTGCACATACCTGGGTGGAGGTCACAGCACTTTGACCCTGGGGGCCCCCCCGACAGTAGTGTTGGGGCTGTGCTTGTGCCAGGGGGCAGCACCAAGGATCCCATCAGGGCATCCTGCTCTCAAGGCAAGGGCTTTTTGCTACTGAACCATCCCTCTGCGCCCCTGAATTGATTTTAAAGAGATGCAGACTTTCTTTTGTATGGTTATAGCAGAAGGGTAAGATGATTTTTTGGGAGAAGATTGTGGAAATAAAATAGATATGTTCCCTCCATCTTGGAGAGATGATTTATTATTAATACTGTTTCAGATAATGTGTTTAATATAAATATGTTGAGTAAATCTACTTAAAATTCAGAGTTTAAAAAATTCCATGTGGTGGAGAATGGGCACTGGTGGAGTGATCATCGTATAACTGAAACCCAAGCACAAAAATATATAAGTTTACAACTATACCTCATGGTGTTTCACTAATAAAAAATTAAAAAAAAAATAAGGAAATAATACCACGTGTACAAAAAAGGAAAAAATAATAAAAAATTTCAGTGTATCTCTTTTTTAGTTATCAGCATTTTATGAGCTGTTTTCCCCCCATATTGTCTGAAATAATAGATATACTTTGAAATAATTATAATTTGGGATAATTACCTTTAATTAGATTTGTTTTTGGACCACGCCCAGCAGTACTCAGGCTCTTTTCTTGGGGGATCACTGCTGGTGTTGGTCTCTGCCAGGGATAGAACCCAGGTCTGCCATGTGCAAGGCAAACACATTGCCCGCTATAATTTGGCTCCAGCCCCAATTTAGTTTCACTTTTTGTTTTTTGGGTGCTGGGGATTGAACGCAAAGCCTCTTGCATGTAAAGCTCTACCACTGTGCTCTGTCTCTGGCCCTAACTATGGTTGGTACCATCTTTTAACTGATGTAAAATAATTCGCTTCCATTTAAAAATTTTTTATATAAATAATATTGTTAAATTACTTTGCTGGAAAATGGGCACTGGTGGAGGGATGGGTATTTGATCATTGTATGACCGAAACCCAAGCACAAAGATTTGTAAATCTACAACTGTACCCCATGGTGCTTCACTAATAAAAAAAATTACTTTGCATACAGTTCTAATTTTTCCTTGTACCAGTTCCTATAGCTTAAAATTTTTCTGGCTCAGAATGTTTGTCCATTTTAAAGATTTTGGTAATACTGATGAATATGCAGCAAAAAATAATTCTGTTCCTTACAACAGTATAGGACAGTATTTATTTTTGTGTTTTGCTACCATGAGGAGATTTTATTAAAATTGGGGGAACAGGTCCCTTTTAGGAGAACTTTGGTATTGTGTTTTACAAAAACTCCCAATTAAATGTCTTAAAAGCACATTATGAAACTGTGCTTTATTATTTGCTTACATATTTTGGAAGAGTGCTTCTAGAATTAATTAGAAGTATTAAAATTTTCATCCATCCCTTGGCTATATTTGGAAAGTAAAATATCAGTGTAATAAGCTGGTTAAGGTTTCTTTAAAACATCTTTATTTCCAGAGTCTGACTTTTCTGAATATCTTTTTGATCCAGTCTTTCATTTACTGGCTTTTCCACTGCATTACTTCCGTACTAAGTATATTAGCATTGAGACATTTCTTAACGGTACCCTACTATGGCTTCCAGAATTTTTTCTCCTTTGTTAACACCTCCTTCCAAGTTTTCATGCGGGAGGTTTCTTGATCTCAGAAGTGTCAACAGAAGGTTTTTAAGCAGTCAGATGGTCCTTAAAATGTTTGTTGATGGAAATATGGAAGGATTGGATCCTTAAGCCAGTTGAACAAACCACCAGTTTCTTATGTGTGCTGACAGGAGTTGTGCAATGTTGTCAGTGATTAGATGGTCCTGCTTTGAGGATTTAAAATCTTGAAAAAATGTGTCTTGTTAATAGCTAGGTCTCTCTCTTATCCCTCTACCCTTACTTTCCCTGTCTAGATATTTCATTGTTAAAGAAAAGTTAGAAGAGGACCTTGAGGGAAAGATACTTGTGATGGTGCCTTCCTCTTATATGTCTATAAAAGAAGGAAGAATATACTGCAAAAAAACCCCTCTTTGTATCACTGTTACACACATCATGTATAATGTTATATCCTGTTGGCTGTGCCAGTGTGCGCGTGTGTGTGTATGTGTGTGTGTGTGTAGGATCTACATTTCTGGTTGCTTCTTATGTACTCATGAGACTGTAGCCACCAAGGACACATTATTCAGTTATAGACAGGAAATGAGGCACCAATTCAATGGAAGGAATTTTTCAGGCAGAAATACATCACATTAATGATACTGGGACAATTACTTCTTATCTCTTTTCCCCTTCATTTTTCCATATGAGAGTGAAGGCTGTTCATGCCTCTTCTCCCAGGCCGGATTCTGGAGACCAGATTCCCTTACAGATAGGAAAATGCTTTCCTCTCTTTATTCATGTATAAGGTAGACTTTACTGTCCTGTTTTGCTTTTTAATCTTTTTATTTTATTTTGCTACTGTTATGTGGACCACACCCAGTGTTGGGTTTATGGGGTGGAGTCAGGCAGTGCTGGGGATTGACCCCGGACTTTATATGTGCCAGGAATGTGCATTCTTGCTTGAGCAGGCTCGTAGCCATATGTGATGCTGGGGATCGAACCCAGGTCACCCACATGCAAGGCAAGTGCCCCTGTCCACTGTACTATTGCTCCAGCCCTGTAATGTATTTTTAGGGGGGCTGTCAGAAGAAAGAAAATAATGTTGCAGAACTTTATTTATTCTTGAGGAGATTTGTACTCTGAAATTTTCCCAGTTGCGTGTACTTTGTTTCCTACAAGACTATTAATGTTTTAAAAGCAAATTTTCTGATTTATCCTGGAAATTCTTCAGAAGTCATACATGTGTTGCGTATCTATTTCTACAAATATGTATATCTCTTAAAACACAGAAGCCACATAAGAATCCCTGACCGGACTTAGGTGTCAGGGTAAAAAAAATCAAGTCTGGCCGCCTGCAGTTTGCTTGCTGCCGAGGTGTTAGTGAAATCATTTG